CCGCTGGGGCTGGGAGCCGGCCTGGGGGTGCCGTCTCCCCGGGCTCCTCCCGTCTCCTGGGCTCCCCACCCCAGCTCGCCCTGTACCTGCCTGCTCTGGGAGAGAGGCCTCCCCCCCACCTCCCTCCTCCCAGAGGCCACAGCCCGAGGCTCTCCCTCTGGGCCCATCCCGGTGCCCTCGCCGGCTGCCCAGCCCCCCTGAGCTCACACCTTGCCGCCGAAGGCTGTCCAGGAGGTGGCCGAACATGCCCTGGTGGGATCGGCCGTCCGGGTGGGTGATGAGCACGTCCACGTCCCCGCAGGTCGCCTTCCCCCGTCGGTACGAGCCGCACGCCACGCACAGCAGCCCGGGGCGCAAGGCCTGCGCTGCCTCCCGGACCTGGGCAAGAGTGGGGAGGCTGAGGCCTGCAGGGCTGGGCTCCCGTCCCCCGCGGCTGCATGCTCGGCGCAGCCCAGGCCAGTCCCTGTGCCTGTGGCCACCGAGGCAGGCCACGCAGGGAGCTCAGCCACAGAGGCAGGCCGGGCTCTTCGGGAGAAGGGTGCCGTCCCTCAGCTCCGGCCCACACGCCCAGGCCTGCAAAAGCCCTCCGAGACAGGGCCAGGCCTGGCCCCAGGGACCTGTGGACTTGGGGCTACTGGCAGAGTGAGGGGTGGGGGGCGAGGCCCAAGCAGGCGGCTGGCAGCGCCCCAGGCCCGGCTGGGGAGAACACGGAACCCAGAAATCTACGTGCCCCAGCGGGGAAGGGCCGAGAAGGAGCAAAGGGTTCTGAGCCCACACCGTGGAGTAGCGCGAGGGAGCTGGCAGGGCGGAGGCCTTCGTGCGCAGATGGCCTGCCTCCCCCGACACCCAGGCGACCTGAGTCCTCCTGACAGGCGCTGGGCTGATGCCCTTACTCTCTTCTGCAGGCTCCCAGGAGAATGGGAGAGGAGGCCCAGGCGAGGAAGCCCATCAGAACTCCCAGGCTGGAGCCCTCGGGCGAGCTGACGCAGGAGGGGCGGGCTCACTGGGGCATCCTCTGTGCCCAGACACCGCGGCTGAGCGACGGAGTCAGCACCAGCACCGCGGCCTGGGATGGGCGACAGAGCGGTCCGGCCAGCCCCCGTCAGCTGCACCGTCCTGCAGCCTGGACGGGGCTGGGCCTGGTCACCCGGGCCAGAGTCCTCCTGGCCCCCGAGAGCAGCACACCCTGCGCACACCCAGGGCGACGGCCCTGACCCCCAGACCCGCTGAGCTGGGGCAGCACCTGGCCCGACCCGCGCCTCGGTCTTCCTCGAGTCTCGGTTTTAGACGCGCCTAATCGCTAACCCAACTCTGAACTGAACCCTCATCTCGGCCAAGCCTTATTTACTGGACAACCACGAATCTCGACTCGTAAGCAGCCAACATAGAAAAACCCGGCTGACCCGGGCCTGGCCTCGGCTCCCTCAGGCTCAGCTTTCTCCTGCCCCAAGCCTGTCCCTCCCACACTGAGCTCACGCCCCGGCCTTGGGTGGCGTCAGCAGGCCCGTGCTTCCCGAGGGAGAGGAGACGGCACGCGTGTGCATCCTGGGGGCAGGGTCCGGGGTTTTCCGGTTCTCCAAGAAGCTGGT